TATTGAATATGGCATACCTCAAGGGATAAAATACATTGTATTGATCTCAAAGGAATTAGAAGCAATGCATTAAGGACCATTTTAACTTAAAAATATGGAACTCTAACATATCCGTATCGGCATCAAAGATGCGAAGAATGCATGTATCAGATTCAATTCAAATAGTCCTATCAAATGGCTTCATATACCATCGCTAGTAGGCAATACACCCATTCAATTGCTTATATTTGACCCTAGAGAATGGATTTGGTAATTCCCTAGTACTAAGCCAACGTGGACCATTTATGACTATACCACCAAACTGGAGTATCAAATCAACATTATCCATTCAACCACACCTCTCAAACACAAAATTTTACTATAAGAACAAAACTTGGACAATAAACATTGCAAACTCTTTTATAAAAAGGTTTGGCATCCTCGGCTTCTTCAAAAGGTATCTACCATGTGTTGGCTGATTCTAGCCAAAGGCATTCCAATAGAAAATTGAAGCAAGGTCATAGGTATGGATGTCAATTGCAAACTTTGTAATTGTAGAAAACTTGAGACAATACAACACGCGTTCTGGGACTATTCATTAGTTAAACCTACTTCAGAAAGCTATAACCAATTCCAAAGTGCAACCACTTTGAGTTCCATCACTAAATGAAACGACGTACTATATGAAAATCTTAATCCTATAATATTATAAGAGGTCTGTTTCACTACCATGATCGAAATTTCTAAAGAAAAATTGTAGTTAATATTGAAAAACCTAATCTTATGGCATATATGGTGTATAAAATATAACTTTGATAGGCATCAAGATTCCTTCTGTGTGGGACGAATTCTTATAAGGACTGAAAGATTACTATAAAAATACGACAGGAAGCATGGTATGAAACATATAAAAGAACCATAAGAGAGCTCTATTAGAAAACATCACTTTTAACTAAAGTATGGACAGATAAGGCAATTTTCTCCAAACATGATCTCCTTATTTGGAACATAGTGCTAATTATACAACTAGTCACCATTGTCATATTATGACATGAATATATAGTAAAAATATGACTAGAAATAATTTTTTAATTAATATTCTATTATATTAGTTCAAAAAGAGTTTAAAACATTTTAATAAGGCTTTTATGAAAGCCTCTTAGCCTATTTTCTTATCTTAATAGCAAGTAGATAGAAGTTAGTATTTTTACCTTCTAAGATATAGAAACTTTTTTACTGCCTTAAAAAGGCCATAAATTGATAAAATCAAGGTAGCAGAGATAAATGGTTGATATGGTAGATACTAAGATCAATTTGAGGATAGGATTGGACTAAAAAATCTTTAGGATATATTAGATTGATATGCGGGGGTCGATCGTTTGTGAGATGGGGTCAAAATCAGACCTCTGATCACTAAAACGACTACCTAGAAAAAATTAGGATTTCATTTGAAGATTGGAGGTTAGGATTTGAGAGCTAACTTAAATTTCTATTCAAAGGAATAAGGATTGTTTTTTTAGGAGTTTTTAAGAACTTAAAAATTATTGTTCAAAGTCAAGGTTTGTATTGGTGATTTGGATTTTATATAATATAATTAGGGCTAGTAATTTTGACTTATTCGTGCAATTGGTGAAGCATCTATGGTTCAAATTTGATACTATTTGGATTATTGGATGTACTAAGTGTATACAAAATTTTGTGATAATCTAACTGTGTGGTTTAGAGATATTTGGTTTTTAAGACAAGAAGATTTTGAAAGTTGGCAGTTTGAGATTGGGTAGGGTTTCTATGATATTTAGAGTTCTTCCAATCGGATCAAGATGAAATTTGGCATGATCTTGAAGGACTTAAAGATCAAGCTGCACACCAATTTTGAGTTAAAGTTAACAGTTGGAGAAGGAGAAATCACTGCTATAATTTTTGCTTCACTTTTCAAGTTGGTGGCCAAGTGACATTAATGCAATTTTTGGAGGTTTTCTCACAATTTGTAACTTGGATTGGATTGAAAATTCTTAAGCATATAGAAGACTTACATTGACAATTGCATGCAAAATTTTATATCAAGTGAATAGTTAGATTAGAAGTTACAGCTTATTAAAGCTCACTAATTAGGATTAGAGCTTATAAGAAAAATCTAAATTGCTTAAATATGAAAGTAATAAGGTAATTGAGACTTATGTATGATTAAGGTTACTAAGAAGAGTATTTTTTATTACTTTTGAATTGAAAGTTGGATTATATTCTTCTCATATGGATAAAACTTATATGAATTTCTTGGATTTTTGTGAAACACAACCTCACCTTCTACAACTATGTGCCCGGTGCATTCTTAAATAAAGCAACACGTAATACGATACTGCAAAGTTTGCCATCCAACTCCATCAAATTAAAAATATCCAACCAATCCCACATCCAGGTCTCTACATAGTCATAGATGATCTCTTTGTATCAATAGACCTCAACACTGTAACTTCAACTTCCACCAATTGAGAGAATCATCTACAATACTTACTTAGCAAAGAAATCCATCACCAATAAGAAAACACAACATTTGGCACTACAAATCTAATAACCTCTATTGACAAAGAGCATCAAATATAACCTATAAATAGTGAAGAAGCCCAATTTTTAAAAGAAATTACACTAATTGATACAACTCCCACTAAAAAATATTGAAAACATAATATATCATGCACCAATAAGGTGTTACGACCACCTCCACTACTTTGGCTTCGATTCCAAACCTACATACAACAACATGCTAAGAACAATAAATCCAATACTCAACTTCTCATCTTTGTAAATATGACATAGAGCAACGTACAAGATATCGAGCTCTTTATATTAATCAACGGAGCATTCTCCACTTGAGCAACATTGACAAATCTTGTGGCAAAAGAAGAATAATAATAAGCAACAACAATATCAGAGAGCACCTCGAGTACAAACATATTATTCTTTGGTTTTTTACAAGGCTTATCAATCATAATTATTTGATAGTCTATATTCCAATGTAGTGAGCTAACTACATTATTTCAACTAGATTATGCAATACCAAAATTTGGTATTACATGGACTTATATAGGGTTGCAAAACTGTCCAAAAAGACCTACCAAGGGTAACAAGTCCAATAATGCGCTCATTGCATGCTAGTGTAACTTTGATTCACTTTAACCATAGTGTAGATTTCAACTTACTTTGTGAATTCAACAACACAAACATATAGGATGCCTTTATATTCTGGAATGTAAATAATTCGTCATCTATCTCTAAGAACATACTACGGGACATTCTATGATATGCCAACATCTGATATATATAGTACCAAAAATATAAAGATGACCTTAGAGAAGGATGCTTATATCTTGGGATGGCACTATATCAAGCGTAGCAAATTAGAGTCCAAGTAGCTATGGCTGCATAGGCAGAACTACAAAAATTTAAATACTACTGCTCTTTTGAACATTGCGGCAAAATAGAATCTAAATTCACCACAATATATGCATAAGAGAATATTACTTGTGAGATAATACATCCTACCAAGTAGAAATCAATCTTTCATCCCAAATTCCTCTCTAAAGACTTAGCTAACCAATTCTAGACTATTTTGACATCTATTGCAAGTCGAACTCAATCATAAGCAAAATTCCAAAACAAAGCTTCACCTCAATGAGGCATAGAACAACCAATGGTTCAACTACTCTTAATCCTCCACAACAAGCCAAAGATATCAGAGAACACCTTGCAAGAGCAATGGTAGACGACATCATAATACAGGTTTTGTACGATATTGAACATTTGAAAGAATGTTGGTCCTTGCAAGATGAATTGGACAGAAGTCACGGATCAATATACATAGCATAAACAGCCAAAAGGAACCTCACCTCCAAAAACTAAGCAACTACTTATTAAGTGTGAGTTGAAACAATATTTGATGGGAGCTCGGATACTTGGACCTTATAGAATGAGAATGGATACTTAGATCTAATGAAAATGATACCATAGAGGAATATAATACATTATCATATTGTGTGGATTTCTATTTGGAAATACACAAGGTATCTAGCTGTAGAGAGTTTAGTTTTAACTTATTGGCTATGCCTCAATAAGTTATTTAATCTTTAAAATAAAAGATAAATAAATACTACAATGTCAAAAAAAAATGTACTAGTAAAATCTTTTATATTTAAGAAGGTTTGGACATAAGGCTTTCTAAAATATCTAAAAATTTCATAACATTTTTGGTTATACCAAATCATAACTAACTATTTACTGATAAGTTTGATTTTCAATAATTCCAAAGAAAATCTATAATCTCCTCTTAAAAACTTATTTTTATATCAAAATTTAACCATAACTCTATATATCCATCTTCAATATATATATATATATATATATATATACAATATATCTTTAATATATATATATATATATATATATATATATATGTATATATTAAGTTTTGACTTCCAAAAAATCCCTTTGTTTTGTATAAAATGCTCAAATTGTAATAAAATCCCTTCAAAACATTTTTTTTTTACAAATGATTTTTTTTTCTCAAATTTTAGAAATTCATCTCTTGATTCAATTGTTTGATTTTTGTCAAATTTATAGATAATATAGATTTTATCCTTAAGCATTACTACAAAATAATTCTACTGTAAATTTGTTACTAGTCATTTGGCATCTTAAAAATCCTAGTAGGTGCTCTAAATCCTAATTCATAAGCACCATATTACTATTTTCTTCATATCTCACAAATCTAAAATCCAAATGCCACAAAACTTATGTATAAAGTTTAGTAACATGAAAATACACATTCTTAAAATTTTTTAGATAAAATCTTATCAAATTACATAAGATATAGTTCAAAACATAACTACTAGCAATTTGGATTACCTACTACTCTTTAGATTCCAAACGTTGACTTCAACTTCCTATATCTCCTTCATTCCAACTTAAAATTTATCAAGCAATATATTTAAGATATAGTCAAGAAAGTGCTCTCTTCAATTCTAATAGCTGATCTTTAATTGCTTTTTGTACATATTTGTTATATCTAAAAGAATGAAAGTAGATATAAAACTGACACCTTGACTTTGAGTGTCTATATCTCCTTCGTAAAAACTCCAAATGATTCAAATTTTATACCAAAAACCATAGCCAAAAACTCGAATTTGCCAATTCTAACCTCTAATATTTAAATGCCTTCAAAAGACTAACCCTAATTTTTAATATAGCCTCTGGTAACCTCTTTGAAGCCCATTGGTCATAATTTTTGACCAATAAGAATAGAGATTTATATTATCCATATTTATTCATTTATATGAATACTTTGGCTATCTTTTTTTGCTACCAAAATCCTTCAAATCCCACTAAAACATGGTTAGTAAAAAATTAGGGCATTAATATAGAAAACCTAATGACAACAACCTAGGGCACCATCCCCTCTCTGAGGAACTAGTGCTCAAAAAACCAGCCAAGGCCACACTCTAGTAGTAGCCCCGATAACATTAGAGCCCTATTTTCAAATAGGTACAGCCTTGCAAAAAGCAACATCGACTAGACGCCTGTACAATCCAGCCATCTCAAATATTCTATTATTTTTAGCAAATAATAGGGAAACATACAAGTTCCTTGCATTCCTAGTCTGGATTTAGTTTTTAAGTCTGAATTATTATGTATGGCAAGAGCCCTGTCTCTGAATCATAGCCTCTCCATTGGAAGAGATACTTTTCATAGAAGAAGCCTCTTCCGACATACACAAAACAGCCAGACTAAGAATCAAAATCCAAGTCTGGGACACAGACAAGCTCTTGACCAAAATCAGATTACTATGACCATTTCCAGAGGCTCAACTTATACAAAAAGTCATATTATATCAGGACACCTTCTCTAGTGTACCAAGTATCGAATATTTGGACACCAGGCCATAGGTTGTAAATCGAGACCATCCAATGGAAAAAAAGAGAGACAAGTCCTCCATAGAGAACAAGAAAATTGCCAACCCCGTTAGATGCCATGGAACACCTAGAATGGAGGGAAGAAACCACCTATACAAAAGGTAACATCAACATCGAGAAAGGACCTTCCTCACACCAACACGTAAGAATAACACACTAACTCAATCTCACCAACACTATATAAGCTAAAATCAGTGATTACACAAGAAAGAAACTCAGACCCTGAATCCGCCCAACCCACATACCTGAACTTTACCACCATGAAGCCACCACAAGAAAGAAGAGGGACATCAACCAATCGCCAAATTCACTTAATAAGCAGAATATCCACAAACAAAAATACTAGCCATCAACCCCACATCATACACTACATAGAGGGGTTCCAATTTGTGTGGAGGAAGAAACAACAGGGAAAAATCCACTTCCAATTAGAACCAATAAGCAGAGACTTGAAAGAGGCACAAAAAAGGGGACATCAAACCACAGCACTCTCAAAGGAATTTCTTTGATCGGTGCTATTCATCCCACACTCCAACACTCAGATCACATGGTATGGGATATTCTCCATACTGTTCCCAATAGTGGGAGAAGTTTCAACAAGGTCTTCATTGACCTCAACACCTCAAGGACCCAATATACTTGGCATGGATTGAAGAGAACAAGCGACATGGATCAGTTCCACGATACACCTCGACATCCTTGACACTTTCCACATGGATACATATTGTCAAATCGAGACCAAAGGTTTTATATAGAAAAAAAAATCCTACACCCAATTGGTATAGAATTGACAAATTCTATACAAGCTATGAATTACATGAACAAAGGGAAACACATGCCATCTGGCTACAAATTACATACATATCAAGCCACTTGGCCGCATTCCTCTTAATCCATTTTGTGAGGAAGAAGAAGCCCAAACAGACTCACTTCAATTGAAGACACGTACATGATGCGAAAGTGAAAGAAAAATTCACGAATGTATGGAAAGATGCAATAAACAACACCAACTTCAAAACCATAGGGAAAAAAGTAGCCACGGCACTGGAACAGATACGATGGATAAACATCACGCTGAAAAAAGAAAGGAAGAGACAAGGCCAGACCTTATATGCAAGCTAATTCCTCACAATTCAAGAAGTGGAGAATTGCTTCCAAGGAGTCTGGATAGACTTAGAAGCTTGGGCCACCCTCAATAAAGCCCAAGCCATGCTGAAAGAGACCAAAAGAGGAAATTTAGAAGAAACAAAAAATAAAACAGGAGTGCTCTGGAACAGGGTAGGTGATAGATACTCGAAGGAATTTTTTTGAATTCCACAAAAATAAAAAATACAAGGGCCAACATTAGGGAGTTGGTCACTACAGATGGCAAGAGCCTGATAACACAAGCCGACGTAGCCAACCATATCCACGAATTCTATACAACCCCATATACAAATGATTCAAGAGTCAAGAACAACCAAGCAGCAGGGGACGGCTATCTATTGAGCGTACCGATGATGATCATCTGTACACAAAATAAGGAGCTCACCACCCCCCATCTCTATGATGAAGATACATAGGATTGCAAAGATTCTTCCAAAAAATAAAGCCATATAAAAAGATACCATCCCTACAAAATTCTTCATAGAAATGTAGGATACGATAGGTCAAGACATCATCACACTCATCAACACCACTCTCAACGAGGGACGCCTATATAGAGACCTCTACAACGGACTAATCAACCTCCTACTGATAGAAAGAACAGTGTTGAACATATGGAATTACCGCCCCATCATGATACTGGCAGCCACATATAGATTAACAACCAAAGTCCTCGCCAACCAACTCTAATCAATGTTGCCAACCTAAATCTGCCCTACACAAAAAAGATTTGTAAAGGGACGATACATCCTAAACAATGTATTGCTGGCCTAAGAATTGATTTATGAAGCCAAAGAAAGCCAGTAGGACATAGTGATACTACTAATTGACATTGAAAAGGCATACGACAGGGTCAACTCGACCTTCATCCAACAAACAATGAAGAAACTAGGATTCTCAAAAAAATGGGTGAAATGGACAATTGCACTATACTGGAATGCCCAATCAACCATCTTAGTGAACAAACAAAAAAGTCAAAAATTCACACTAGAGAGATCGGTTAGGCAAGGGTGTCTATTGGTACCTTATTTATACCTCTTCATATTAGATGTGTTGTCGTATATGATCAACTACCCTACTTACGTAATAGACGAGCCTCTACCTTTCCAATGATATCATGATCCGGGACCAATGCTTTGCGGATGACATGACCTTCTATCTCAAGGGAACTTCCAACAACCTACAACGAGCATTTGAGGTACTCGAGCTTTTTTGTGCAACCTCGAGATCTTTGATCAACTAGAACAAGACAAGGGCACTGTAGATTAGCAATGACCTAAGACCATGAAACTAGGGAGAGAACAAAGGCACTGTGGATTAACAATGACCTAAGACTATGGAACTGGGGAGAGGACAAGGGCACTATGGATTAACAATGACCTGAGACCATGGAACTGGGGAGAGGACAAGGGCACTGTGAATTAGCAATGACCTGAGACCATGGAACTGGGGAGAGGACATGGGCCTCATATGGCTTCCTCGGGGTGCCCACACCAAATACTTGGACTTCATCTTTGAGGATGAAATTGCCCAACAGGACAAGGATGAAGCAATCATGCACCAAATCCGAACAAAACTAGCACAATGGTTGAACAAAAAGCTCCCTTTTCTATCTCAAGTGCTAGTATTGAATCAAGTAATACTCAAGAACATATAGTACCTAGCATCATGCAACGACATCCAATAAAGGGTCCTAATGAAGATAAGAGCCTTCATTCAGAACTTCATATGATTGGGGGACTCGGACAGGAAGACGAGGGCTAGAGTAGCATGAGACACCACAATCATCCTAACGGCCAAAGGAGATATAAAGATATTTGACCCAATGGGCCAAATAAGCCTCTCTTAGCCAAAATGATACCAAGAGCCCTAACTCTAGGAGAGGAGTCTTGGAAATCCCTCATACTACACAAGATCCAAAATACACAGCTCCGCAAAAACAAAAACTAAGGTAAACACGTGGATTGGATATTCACGGCCCCCACAATATGGCCATAAGACTCAAGCCTGTGGCGGGCAACATGGACGACGTGGGCAACAGTCGAGAAGGAATTTATCAAAGTGTTCACGACCTCCCACACTAAAAAGATGCGCCAACCTTTATTTTTGAACACAGAAAAGATTTTAGACGATAATGTCAGCCTAGGAGCAGAGGCCAACTCGAGATTCTTCACATGGTCCATGAATGAGGTCAATCAAGTGGAAGACATATGAGATGGCCACCGACACAATTGGCAGATCGATCAAATACTGAGACACAAGACACAATCCAAGAAGATTGAAACGCTTACACACATTGCATATGAATTGATAAAGTGGAATCTTACACAATCCAATCCCTCGATTGACAAGAAATAGGTAACGGTGGGCTGCGAGGCTCCGATCTATCACACAACAAGAAGCAAATCCAAAAGATGGAAGGCCTCGTGATATATAAGAGCAATCAGAACCAACCGACTCGACAAGACCAACAATCATATTATGGTACTCACAGATGCAACAGAAGAAGCGAAGATATTCATAAGAAACCAATTGGGCAAGGTAGTAGAATTCAACCCAACCGACCCCCTGGACATGACTTATACGACATGAATGTAGGGAAAAAGGCTCATGAAAAGCCTCGAGATTGACCCAAAGGAATGGACGTGGTGCAAACGGGGCCTAATACCAATTGAAAAACTATTCAACTACACAACAAAGAGAGATTACAAAACCATCCTAATGCAACAATGCAGATAGATGGAATTCGATAGGACTATGGCAAGCCGAGGCTTCTCCTCAATCCAACGAATACAATACTTTGCCAGACTTTGGCACCCCTGGCTCCCCCTCAAGATATCCGCCATGGTGTGGCTCTTGATTGCAGAAGGTCTCTCCATCGGACAATGAAGGCACAAAATACAACAAGATGGCTACTATAGCCTTTGTACCAGCAGGATCTTAAAAATAGCAGAGCATGCATTCTTTGCGTGCTTGCAAGTCGTGCCGATTTGGAAAAAATATGCGATCGCCAAGAGACTCTCAAACCCAATTACTTTGAATACCACGTAGGAGACTGACCTCCACGACACCTTTTCAATCCCCCCCCCCCCCAAATGGAAACCGATCCTCCGCCCCGAATTCCTCCCCAGGGACCTAGCCAACTGACTCCAGACCATCCCTACACCCACCGCAAGCCGGATGCAATTATAAGAGGAACCCGGAAACGAAGCCTCACCTCAGCGAGGCGCAAAACAGCCAATGGCCCAGTCGCCCCACAGCCCCCCACTACGAGCCGAGGACGTCAGAGAACAACTCGCGAGGGCGATGGCATAGGACATCCTAGTACAAATTATGCGCGACATCCTCGAAGGAAGACGGGTCCTAGCAAGACAAACCGGACAGAAGTCCCGGGCCAATATACACAATGCGGACAACCTTTCGCTCCCAAAAACCAAGCGACCAGTCGTCAAACGTGAGCCGGAACAATACCTGGCCGGAGCTCGGACACCCGGACCCCACGATTACGGATACTCAGACCCCACAGGATGAGAACGGATACCCGGACCCAACAAAGAAGATACCTGGCCAGTGGGACACGACACGTAAGCTTCGAATTAGGAACCTCACAATTGGCACGCTCTGCGTGACAGTGTGGATTTTTAAACTTGATGTAATTTTAATCTAATTTACCTTTAATACAAGCCGTTTCGGCACACTTCAGTTCACTTCGTGAGATATCCAGGTAATTAGCAGGAAGTCTAGAGTTTAACTCCCAGTGGAAGGCATTTGACGATCTTTTTCGAAGCGAGCGGTCTATCAAAACGAAGTCCCGTTCCTATGGTCACCTCAGATCGAGATATCGTCACGCTCACTCGGTCTCTCTCGCTTGCACCGCCACCATGAGGACGCCTGTCGGTGTAGCTCCGGCGTCAATCCCAAGCTTCTCTGGTACGACAGATTGTCCTGCAATTGCTCTCTCGTATCGTCAACGGTGGAATCTGCTCATTCTGCCCATTCCCTTCGTGTAAAAATTCCTCTGTGGGTTCAATGAAATCGGAGCTTATTTGCGCTTAATTTGAGCAGCCTACCTCCCATACTGCTTCTCGTGCTGGGTTTCGAGCTTTGAATACCCTCGTATCTTTGAAGCCCAGACGTGTCTCAGTTAATTCAGAGGACCAGGAGCTAATTGGACGATTCCTGTCGGGTTTTGAATCGAGCAAACGATTGTGCGTTACATTCGTGCTGAGTAAATAGCCATGGGTATCAAGGTGAGAGTGAACGAGAGAGAGAGAGAGAGAGAGAGAGAGAGAGAGAGACATTGTCTGGTTTGCGACGCTGTGTAATCGTATCTTAAGTTTACTGTTGTTCTTCTCTCGACATGATGTTTTGACGATTTGGAACATGAGAAGGCCGAGTTGGGTGTTGTGGAGGTTTCTGGACTTCATATTTATGGTGATGTATGGCGAAATTCCATATAACAGGGATTAACCAAGCTGATTGCGGACAATGCTCATGGCGCAGTGAAGGAACAAAAGTTTGAGAATTATTTTGGTCGAAAAATTGCCATCGATGCTAGCATGAGCATTTATCAGTTTCTGGTACGTGTTTCGTTTTAGCAATTAATTGTATATGATTTGTTTTTTTTGAAAATTAATTAATTATTTTTTTCCAAAAGAGAAAGGTATGATTATCTGTGCATTGAAAGTGCCACTGTTTAATTCAACTCGGAATATCCACAAATGGGAGCGCCTAGTCTTTCGCTCATGCGGTTGCGGTCAAATTGACGGTTCGAATCGTCATTACAGAGTTCTAGAAGTACTTGACATTATGAAATAAGAGATATGGAGGATTAAAACTTTGTCTTCTTCACTAGTGACTGGCAAAATGAAATCGATGATACCTCCTGTCTTAATCATGAGAAGTATTTTTCTTTTAGCTTCACCTACCACTGCAATCGTCAATATGTTGCTTATATAGTTTTGTTACCAAAACCAGGGATCATGTAGTTTAAATACATATCATTTGAAAAGAAAGCGTGTCCTTGTGCTGATGGTATGATGTGTGCGAATTTAAAACAATATAATTGTGCCGCCCACACCTGATTGAGGCCATGCTTTGTACTCAAAAGCGGTCTATCTCGGTTTATGCTCCATCGAACTCATGTTTGCTGTGCTCTTCTGCAGATAGTCGTAGGGCGCAGTGGAAGCGAATTACTCACGAATGACGCGGGAGAAGTGACGAGGTCAGGTTATTCTTTGTCTTTTCTCCCTGGTTTGGTGTAATTCAATTGGTGACAAAGTTTACACACGCACAGAGATTACATTCTAATGTCTGCAGTCTTTCAAAGGGGTTAAGAGTTGCACTTTGTCCATGCAACACAATTTTGGAGTCTTTTTTAACATGTCTGGTCCATGTCAAAAATACTCATTAAACTCACAGCGAATGTTTGCTGTACAGCTTTGAGATTTTGTTTATTACGTTGACGTGCATTGACAAGGCGACTGACGTAGGTGTTCTGGGCTCTTGTTGCCAGCCATCTGCAGGGCATGTTCAACCGGACGATTCGAGTGTTAGAGGCCGGCCTTAAACCTGTGTATGTACCGTCCAGTAAGAATGCTTCATCCTGCTTTACGGTGATTGATTATTTTATCGTGGTAATTTTCTAGTAAGATATCGTATTTATTCCAAAGATTGTTTGAACAACTTTGTTTGTGGCAAGAAGTAACTCGGGCTTTTTATTTTTGTAGTTACGTATTTGACGGTCAGCCTCCAGATTTGAAGAAAAGGGAGCTCGCAAAACGGTAAATGCAACCATTTTGTTCTAAAATTATAACGTCAGTTATTTCTTTTCCTTTTATGTCATTTTGTAGCATTCAAAATTTCACATCACCATTCTTTTATCAATGAAGGCGTATCAATTATGTCTATCTCACGCAGTTTTGCAAGGCGCGAGGATGCTGCTGAAGATCTGGTCACAGCCAAGGAGGTATGGTGTTGGATTGCTTCGTAAGGCTTTTTGGTTTTAAATTTGTTTGAATTTTCAAAAACAATTCCCTCCCCTTTTTCCTCCTCTTTCCTTATATATATATATATATATATATATATATATATATTATTTATGTTTGAAGTGTTTTGATTAGCATGAATGTAAATATATGTGGTGTGCTTCAGACAGGAAATGAGGCTGATGTGGAGAAGTACAGCAAGAAGACAGTGAAGGTCACTAAGCAACACAATGAGGATTGTCGTAAGCTGCTACGACTTATGGGTGTTCCTGTTGTTGAGGTATGTTGTTTAGTCTCTACTCAAATCAACAGTTGAATCTCATTCTCTTGCTTTCTGTTTGTGGTGACGTTTCGTCCTGAACATTGTCCTAAATTGGACCTTTCGGTTTTCAACTTTGATGTATTTTTCTTGATCAGGCTCCATCTGAGGCTGAAGCTGAATGTGCATCGCTGTGCAAGGCAGAGAAGGTGAAATGCGCGCGTTTCTAATTACTATTATTTCTGTTGTTTATCTAACGAAATTCTGAAGTATGATCTTTTCTCAGAAAATTTGGTTCATTTACTTCGTATCTTAAATCAGAAGTTTCTACTTTCTTTGGCTGTAGGGATAATCCAACTTATGGATTTTAATGCATGGGTTAGGTGATAACCCCTTGTTGGTCCAACTTGTTATCATACGCACCATACAATTTAAAGTTTTTTATGACTACAATTAAATTTTATGTTTCTTATGTTAAGTCACAACCTCAATTAGTCATTTTTCTATGTTACATACGCACCAGTCCCAGGTTACAATAGAAGGAACTAGAATGTTAGGATCATGAGAGGACATCCAATATATGGATTATGTAACTTTTTTGACATTTAATCAAGATTATATCATAGAAACCATTATTTCATGCCTTAGTGGGTCAAATGCTTGACTATCTTTGGGATCTGTATCCTGTTCTGAAAGTTCTATGGTTTTAATGACAATCGTAGGTTTTCGCTGTGGCATCAGAGGATATGGATTCGCTCACATATGGATCAACACGATTTTTACGTCACCTTATGGAGCCAACCTCTCGGAAACTACCTGTTCTGGAGTTTGATATTGCAAAAGTAATCTGGCTGATATAATTTGTTTCTATTTTCATCAGGATTTTTAACAACCTTCGTTTATAATTTTGTAGAATGGAGAGTTCACATGTGTTCATGTTACTTCAGCTCGATAGCTCATGCATGATTGGAGCACTTAATGTGTTCGAGGCAGAAATGCATCAACAATCTGTTGATAAACTGTGCCTTATGTCGTTTCAGGTCTTAGAAGGATTGGGTCTTAACATGGATCAATTTGTTGACTTGTGCATATTATGTGGGTGCGACTATTGTGACACGATCCGAGGTTAGTGTGATTCTGCATTTCTGTTCATTGTGTGCAACAAGCGCATGAACTTTGTCTAACACGTATTATTTATTTTTATTCTCCCACCATTCTTGTGGACCCTGAATAGTTCACACGCTCATACGGCTAGACATGACATCAATTCACATGTTCTATTATGTTTTTTAGCTTATAATAGACCAACTATGCCCTCAACGAAGTTAATTGATTCCCTGCATTGATTCTTAATTCAGCTTTACACCGTTCTGCTTTTCCTCTTGGTTTCAGACTGCGTTTGGTCGTGGCAGGTATTGGACCTCAAACTGCCCTTAAAATGATACGTCAACATGGTTCTTTGGAGATTGTTCTAGAAAATTTAAACAAAGACAGGTTTGTTCCACGAATTCGGAAAAAAACGGGTTCAAGTCGGTGATTTACTATGAGCTTCATTTGCCCTGTTTCTCGTGGTTGTCTTCGGGAACGGTCATTTTATTGATTGCATCTCATGCTAGATATCAAGTACCAGATCCATGGCCATATCAGGAAGCACGACGCCTTTTTAAAGAGCCCTTAGTTACTCCGCCCGAAAAGGTTCCAGAATTCAAGTGGACTGCACCAGATACAGAGGTTCTTCTCGTGCTCATCCTATGCTCCTCTTTTTCAACTTTTGAAAATTACTCTTCATGTTCTTGCAGCAATATCTCCAAGTCATGCATACAATTCAAGGTTTACCAGTTGGTAAGAATCTTAAGTATCTGACATCTTTTGGTCTGCATACTTATGTAGGGACTACGTCAACTTCTAGTCGAAGAGAACGGCTTCAACAATGACCGAGTGATGAAGGTGAGTGTACTCATATTCATTACTGACGTACGCCATTTAAACGTGAGTGGTTGCCACCTTGACGAGCCTTGTGAAAATGACATCTTCCTTCTGTGCAGGCTATTGAGAAGCTCAAGGTGGCAAAGAACAAAGCATCACAAGGAAGGTGTGCCACCAATTCCGTTTCAGTAGTAGAGCGGTGTTAGCAAGTTAATCCTCCAAATTTTCGGTTGAAGGAAAATAAATTTTAACATCTTACTCTTTACTATGCTTAAATTGTCTAGAATATGGATTATAGTTTGATCGTGTCAGGGTCTCAGCGAAACCAGTGGTCAAAATATACTACGTCTCGCTAGAATGTGGCAATCAGTTTAGACAGTCCATATTTCTCTCTCTCTCGTTATCTATATATATATATACATATATATGTGTGTGTGTGTGTATGTGCGTGTACGTTCATGAGCCCGTCCGTTGATTGTTGTTTTTACTTTGCGCAGATTAGAGAGTTTCTTCGGAGTAAGTTCCTCTTCCAGCAACAAGAGAAAGGTGGGTTTGGCTTTCTTTTAGTATTGCTGGTTGTGGACCGCTGTCCGTGTCTCTATAATAGACGTGTAGTCTTCCTTACCGCACGCGAAAAAACTACATGAAATTGTGTTTGGATCCCAAAATTTTAAGGTTCCTTAGATTTTCGATATGATAATATATCACGTGCAATCATCTGAAGTGAACGTGGCAACAGATAGGTTTTGTGTTAATAAATGTCTTCAAACTGTTTGACGAGCTGCAGAATATATTAATTGTATTCCAGTTCTTACCATTGTGTTTGGAACTCTTGCAGGAGGCCCCTGATTCTGAAGCTTCTGCCGGAAAGCAGGTTAAAACGGCTGCTGCTGTAAAACCTGCTAAAGCTGCTTCGAAGAAAGGTCCTGCAAAGGGGGGCAAAAAGAAATAAATCTTTTCCAGATCTTAAAGAGTGAGGAAGCGTGGGCGTTGTAGTTAAAAGCATAGCAATAGGTCTATCACGTCAAAGATCAGATGAACATTAAGAGTTGAAGAGCCCGTCTGCTCTCTTATAAAACAGTCATAACTCACTTCATAGTTTCAGGACCTCCTTCTGTACAGATGACATGCGAGCACTTGCTGAAGCGTAGTCAATATTTTAATGTATCTGGTAGTGTCCTTTGAGTGTTTTCTTGGAGGTCGCAGATCAGGAAATGGTGTGTGTTGAGTTTGAAACTCTAAACCAGCAGTTCATTTCCAAATTTTTCGACTTGGAAAGCTATATGCTCCCGCCAGGGATAATCATTTGTTGTGTTTTGACCAATCGGTCACGACGGACTTTTTGTAATGGCAATAAGTCCGTTTTAGGCCTTTTAGAACTGATGTACATGACTCTCAAAGTGAGCTTTGAAAACTTAGTAATACCTTTCTAAGGCTTATTTTTCCAAATGGCGTGGGTCGTTCAGAAGTTAAGGGTTCGGAGGCATTCTGATGTAGCATTGCTTCAACCGAGTTGTGAGCTTGCCTCTCTACAGACGCGTAGGCTTTATGTAAATGTATAGAAAGTCAATTTTCTCTAAGTTTGAGCGGTTGCGTCTCGAGTGTAGACCGTGTGTAGAGAATTGTGGGGACTGCACAATGTCTGTTCCATGTGCGAAAATTAAGGAATCTGACAGCCAAGTCTAACCAGGCATTGGAGAAGCAAAACTGGCAAATAACCTCCGTGATGTCACATGGGAACCCTCGTGAAGTGACTACTTGTCCACGTTGCTCAATCGATTTCCAATTAACCAAGAGACAGGTGGTGAATGAGCCCACCCTCTTGGATCTCCATCATTTCTACTCATATCTGCACTCTTCATTGTTGGTGTCGAAGGCGCTCGGAGTCTGAATGTGAGGTGAAGCTGGATTTGTTCCAAGCTCAGGCGTGACTCTGAATCGCTTGAAGGTATTTTGACCGTCTCTTGCAGTGAAGCGCTTAAGTTTGGAGTGCTTAACACTTTGGGCCGTTTAAAACATTAAACTCCCGGGGCTATAGGATCTTCAGCGCAATACTTCACACCAATTAATTTGCGGGGCCTTTTCGAAGGTATGTTGCAGGAGGGCTTTCCAATCTACTGGCATGAGCTTGATTTTTAAAACCATGTCTTGGCGATTTCAATTGACCAAGATATCTGGAGGTACTAGCTGTGATCAACCGTTGCAGCCAATGCACGTGGTAGCGAAGGTTTGAATCTGGAACCGAACGTCCTTTTAGCCAAGAATTCTTTTGACCCAACTGCTTGCAAGAGACATATCTTTTAGCAGGAACCTAAGATATTTCAATTATTTTCGCATATCGAAGCCAGGAGGGAAGATGGTGCACTTGGATTGATGTTCAGTTTTAAGGCTGCAATGTGTAGACCGTGAATTCCATCTTGCAGGATCTGTGTTCTTTTCGGCATTTAAAAGTCACACCATGGAAGAGGTATATTGATCCTCTTCCCGAATTTGGGGTGTTTCCTGAGCTGTTGCAAGATAGCTGTACTTTTAAACCTAAAGTTTTCTGGTTCTCATATACACTCTTTCGGATCATTCATGTTGATTGTTCTTTGTTTCCTGCTGCAGGATGGGGAGAAGGTGTACCTGTACATATATGATCTCAGTCAAGGGATGGCTCGCCAATTATCGACGACTTTCCTTGGACATAGCATTGAGGGCGTGTGGTACGATCAAAATTTCAATTGTTTGAATGGGTGACCAAAAAGGCTTACGGGTCGGGAGGGAAATCAACGTTGTTGAGTGTCATCTATGTTACGCTGTGGTAGAAAAGAGCAAGATGACCATTTTTTCATGCCATGACCATGCAAGTGGTTTTGCTTTTTTAATAAAAATTTAATTTAATTTAATTTAATTGTTTGTAATGAGGGCAGTATTCACGTGGGTTTACACCAGGCACTCTGGCATAGGATTTTCTGGGAAGTACTTCTATGGAGCCAGCATTCAAAGCGTGCGGATAGGACACAGCCCTTTCGGCACACCTGTCGAAGTACTGGAGTTAGGGTACACGCACATACCGAAGAACATCTTTGAAGTTTTTTTGCAAGAGATTGGGCCTCGATACACCATGGAGACATACAGCCTTTTAAATCACAACTGTAATCACTTCACCGACGAAGCAGCTCAGTTCTTGGTCGGAACAGGAATCCCTCACCATATTTTGCGGCAGGTTGATGTCGCGTTGAATAACCCCTTGGGAGCTATGATGTGTGAGGCGCTCTTTTTCAAACCGTCTTCATAATTATTTATCACAAGTAATTTACCTTTGATACTGTTACAATGAGGGTTTTTGAAAACTATCTTCTCTGATACTGTGTTCGATCTGTGCTCGGCAGTGCCCATGTTGCAGCAGCTGGAGACCACACTGCGTCAAGGAGGTGTGCCTGTAGCCCCTGCAAACAACGCTACCGGGTCACCATCAATGCCAAACTCTTCAGTCCCTGCGAGCAGTGTCTCCCTATCCAATGGATTGTTGCCTCTATTTCCTGCTCTATTTCCTCCAGTTGCTACTAGTGCTGCCTCGCCTGCCGTCCCCGGCACTCACTCAGACCCTTCACCCCCAACAGGGACTGGTATGAAACGTATTTTACACGTTTCTTGTTCTCTTTATTACACCTTTCAATCTTTCAATCTCATTGCTGCAAGAACAGAGCATCTGGCGATACAGGTTCTACAAGCAGACCCTGGGTTTCCCTCAAGTCTAAATCATCATAATTTTTGCTTGTTTGACAACAGAAGTTTCAGAAACTATTGAAAGCACTACTAATGCGAAGTTCTCTGTTCATGCTGTAGGTCAAAGTGGGGCTGACAATGAAAGGCAAAGGAACATCGATAAAAACAGAGAAGCGTGAGCAGAAGGGTATATGTATGTTGCTTGCTGCAGCTCAAACAGAGGCACGACCACAAGCATCCTGAACAAACATGTAAAAATCACGGTGCAGAATGACTACATTTCTGCATGATCTCTTTGATTGTTTCTGCTTGACTTCGAAAACTCCTACAGGCTAACTATCCTTACCCACTTCTACTTTTTCAGGCTGAAAGAGCTTGACAACTGGAAGCAAGCTTGTAGATGTAGCAGCAATTTGAGCAAAAGAGCATGATTGTTGTTGTGAAACAGAGGATCGGTGGCATCGTCCATGATTCAACGTTGACAGATATCCAGATTCTGCACCAAAGACAACGGTGAGCAGATTTAAGAGTTGGTATAAAATGTAATTGTGGTGGAATGATCTAAATTCTTTGGGGGATTCATCATATATTTTTCTTTGCTGTATGTTTTTGTTGTACGTTGAGTGGTTGTGGCAGAACAGTTGTTTTGTTGGCCTATGAGAAAAAGATGAGTCATTTTTCCTGTACAAGGTATTTGCATCTACGTACATCAAACAAGGTTAATTATCATGGTATTTTATAGAAACACTTGATTATGCTTTGATTATGTGAACTTTTTATTCACCAGCCTAGTTTTGTCCTGCGGGATGCAGAATAGATAAATAAATACACTTTTTTAATTTTTTTTTTATTGAACAGGTTATGAAATCATTTATTTTAATATTGAAATTAAATACTATTGATGATTCTTTTGATTGGGTTACATGTGATTCTGTATAATGACTTTATATCGATATTTGTGTGGTCCAAATAATTAACTATCATCCTGGTGTTGACATTCGGTGATGTGATGACAAAACCCAAAATAACAAAGTAGCTTAAGAATGCCATTAAATTTACCTTGGATATGAATGTGAATAAAACAATTTCTTGTATCAAATGTAAATAATTTTTAACATTACAGTTAAAAATTGTGAGAATTAAATTACCAATTTTGGGCATGAAAGTTCTCTATAAAAACTTTTGGGCATGAGAATCTGCCCGAACACAAATTTCCGGACTGGAGTCTCGGCAAAAGGAATGAATTCACATTTACCGACTCAATCCGGAATTCCATTCACTATTCACCGACTCAATCAATCAGTCAATCAATCAATCAGCTTCTCCTTCCTCGTCGATCTCTTCCTCATCGATCTCACAGCATCTTTGCATGCAATTCCATTCAATTCCTGCTTCAAACCATGCATGCCAGGGTCTGAACTCTCGCTACTCATTTTGTACAATGTCTAAGAATGGCTTGCATGTCGCTGAATGGCGTCGTAGACGTCGTGTAAGTCCTTTTTGGTGTCGTGTAAGTCCTTTTTAGTGTCGTGAAACTCATCAGACTTTGCTTGTGCGCACGGAATCCTGTTGACTGTAATTGATCCGTGGGTTGCAGTTCCACTTTCAGCTTTCAGTCAGAAAAAAGTGGTGGCGGCAGTCTGCCTTTTCAGACTCTGTCGATCCCACCTGGATATCTTTCAAGGTGCAGTGGGTGAAAAAGAGCACTGGTTGAAGTTCACTGTGGAAGTCACAAAATGCGTGTTGTATCTTCGTTCCATTCCAGGGGGATGATTCCATGTACCGTAAGCGTCATTAAGCAAATCTCTTCTTCACTAGGATTCCTCTTTTGGGTGGGTTATGAAGGAGGTGGGTGCATGTGGGATACGGCAATTCCAGGATTTCTTGTGGTTTGTGTATAACTGGAGCATGCCAAGGAGATCGAGGAGGAAATTAGAGGTGAGATCAAGCTTAGAGAATGCTTTACAGTGACAGGGGGGATGATTGAAGAGTTTGCCAGCGCATTTCGGAACATGTGATTGTTGTGCCAAAGGAGGTTCGGTGTTACGAGGGCTCTTGAGTGGAACATTATTCTTGTAAGATACAAGGTAATGAGGTGGGAGAGGACACAGTAGAGATGCAGCTTTGAAGAACGGATGTTGGAATGTGTTTGATGTCAGACGAGGAGTTGCCCAGAGTGTCAAAGTATACTGTCGGCATCGAGACGGGAGCTGGGTCTTGTGGAGTGGGAGACATTCTTCTCTGCGATTTGAGAGAACACGATTACTGTTAGTGGGGCGTTTATGAATAGTGGGAGTGAGAAGTTTTCATCAAGAATTGTGACAATGCCGCGGAACTGAATCCTTAAACAGGGCGGGTGTGCATTCGAAAGGCCCCAGATTGTGTGCGTTGGCGGGGGACATGGCCTCGAGTAAGGTTACTGCGATCTGGTTGTTGGTTTCACTATTCTTGGTAGACAAAGTCGTGGAGGGTAGGCATCTTGTTACTTCGGTAACTGGTTCTATGCAGAATGAGCCTCGGCAGGTTCGAAAGAGCAACGAGTTTCCTGAGGGCTTTCGTTTTGGTACTTCCTCTTCTGCGTACCAGGTATGTCCCCTTACGTGATAAATGATCTCGCAGAAATAAATTTTTCGCAGCAATTTCTTTGTAAGTAGATAATAATTAGTCCGAAGGGATTTAATCGTGGGTTATCGTATGTTAATGTTTGTAGTGACATTTCATATTTGAATTTTGGGTGAAGTACGAAGGTGCAGTGAATGCAAGTGGTCGAGGACCTTGCATATGGGATTCTGCTTCTCACACGCCAGGTAACTCCGCATCAGTGCACCTGTTTCATTCGCGTAGGTCAGCAATATTTTTGGATTGTTTCATAGTGAAGGCGATTGTCAGTGCTCGTTGAACACCTCTTGGTTTTGAAAAGTGCTGTGCTTTCTCTCAAACAGGGGTAATTCATGACAACAGCACAGGCGACATTGCTACCGATCATTACCATCGGTATCAGGTTTTGGAACTTCACTTTCTGTTCGTCCACCTGTGGCTTATTTCTACCCTATGCGTTTTTTTTTTTTTTTTTTTTTTTTAATTTTTTGAAGAAACACAACAGAACTACATGTGAAGGACGTGATTATTAGCTTTCCTGAAGAGTCGTTTGTTTGAGGTTCTGAATTAAATTCTTGCATGGCAATTGTAGGAAGACATAGAACTTATGGCGCACCTGGGTGTGGGAACTTATCGTTTTTCGATTGCGTGGACGCGCATTTTTCCAGGTTCTCGATCGAACTCGAATTGCTTTGAGGCACCAATTATCAGTGATCATTAGCTTGATTCGGTTCATCCCTAGTCGTAAATACGTCTTAAATACTTTTTTTTTTTTTTCTTTTTTTTTTTTTTTTTCCGCCGAATGATGCTATACATGGTGAATGTAATAAAACAACATAGTTGTGTGTATTTCCTGATTTTTCAAAAATGTATATATGGACCACTCTCAATATAGCTTTCGGTAAAACGGAAACACAGATTGATAGGATCTGTCGGGGCCAGGTTTTATACTTAAGGCATGAAGTTCATTGCTAACCTCCTGACATCATAACTCCATGTCATCTTTAAGATGGAAGAGGGCCAACTCCTAATGCTGAAGGCATTGCTTTCTACAATAGGCTGATTGATACGCTACTTTCGACAGGTATTTCTCTGCGAAATTTTTAATTTTGACTTTCTTCTGAGTATTGCAACTTTTAATGGTCTGTGAGTTAATTTTAAGTTGAGGGTGTCTAGGCATAGAACCTTTCGTGACTGTCTCCCACTACGACCTGCCTCAAACTCTTCAGGATGAATTTGGGGGCTGGCGAAGTCGCCATATTGTGTAAGAATTCTTCTAAGGCTTCCGACCCTGCAGTCTCTATTTGTGATAGAAAACGTTTTCTTTGGAGTGGGGTTTCAACGACGTTCCCTTAGCCTTCATAATGCATACATGGATCACCTTGTCAATTTAAGTTCTGCAATTTGCAGACCTCTATTCACGTTTTTCGCCGAGACTTGCTTTGCTGCCTTCGGAGATCGAGTGAAATACTGGATTACTATCAACGAGATCCATAATTATGCCATCAAGTACACCAACATTGGATGTAGGAACCCTTCGGGCCTCTGCGCGCCTGGCAACAGTAGTACTTGGGTGTACACAGCTGGCCATCACATGTTACTTTCACATGCTTTTGCGGTTGAAGTTTATCGCACAAAATTCCAGGTATTTCATTGATTCATATCAGCCTTTATTCATCGCAAAAACCTCTCTGGAACAAATTGGCAAGTTTCAAGCTACTTCTTTCCATGTAAATTATACGCATATTCAGGTAGCGCCTAGCAATATTCTTCTGCGTGAAATTTTTGTATAATTATGACGGATAAAATGTAAGGTATTATGGCTAGACCTCGACTGAACAAACGTAGTGTTCTCTGTGAGACGTCTCAAGAGTACTCCTCACATGGTTGCCATATTTTTGTTGCAAGGCAGACAAAGCAGGGAGGCAAAATTGGCATTGTTGCAGATGCACAATGGTATGAGCCTTATTCTGACAATCCATGGGATATTGCAGCTGTCGACCGCATGCAAGCGTTTCAAGTGCGATGGTATGTGTTACATGATCCGATTATATTTGGCACCCTTTTCTCTGAAGTTTGTAGCATAATATTCGTGTGAGCTATCCGTTAGAGGATTTACAAGGGAGCAAAGTGTTTCTTGTAGCTGTAAAACTCATCGCCATTCTTCGTTTGTGCTCGAAATCCAATACGAGAGGATAATGCAATTCGTTGAAACACTCCTTGAGGCATTGACTTTCCGTCTGATCCTACTGTGATCGTGGTGTAGGGTACTTGACCCAATTTACTACGGTAGATACCCTGAAATGCTAGTTGATCGGCTTGGCGATCGCCTTCCCCGTTTTTCAGAGGGAGAGGCGCAGTTGTTAAGAGGTTCAGTTGACTTCCTGGGCATAAATCATTACACCACACACTACGCAGTTGATCAAACGAATTCGACTGAGCAGTTGGATTCAGGAGCTGCTTCTGTTGGTATGCACCTATCTTTCCGATAACTTCTTCTCTAAAGTGACAAGATAAGATTTCAGTCATGCTCACAAGCCCCAGAGTTACTGACTTCAATGCCTGGCAATCATGATTTGTGGGCGTTTCGGTGATAAAAAAGGATTTATGAAAATTAAGTAATGGGGATGATGTTTCAGGTTCACGAGGGGGCGTTCCAATTGGACCTAAGGTAGTCTTCTCGACAGTCCTCGAGTTTGACATATCTCATCGAGTTATTCATATGCATTCGTGTTCGTGTTGTATACCATGTTAATGTCATTTTACGAATGAAGAGTGGATTTTGATGCAGGCTGGTTCCATATGGCTGAATATTGTACCATTTGGTATACAAAAAGTGCTAAATTATATCCGGATACAGTACAACAATCCTATTGTTTACATCACTGAGAATGGTATGTTCTTTATAACCTCAACTAGCATCCTCCACCGATTGAACAATTTTGGAGCCGCGCCTCACCGAATATCTGGATATATAACAGTATCATCTGCAACTGTATCCTGAAATCCTGTATATGCCAATTCTTTGTATCAGGTGTTGATGAGGACAACGATCCCGGAATTCCCCTAGATGTGGCTCTCAAGGATTCCTTTCGAACCAAGTACCATGTGGACTACCTTTCGTATGTAAACGCGGCAATAAGGTACTACTATGTCATAAGTTCTGTGTTGAATTTGTTGAGTACATGTTAGTTTTTACCACTAAACATTGGGAGACTGTTTATTTTGCAGAGACGGGTGTGATGTGCGAGGTTATTTTATTTGGTCCCTTCTAGACAACTTTGAGTGGGACGATGGACTCTCTAAGCGATTCGGGCTCTACTACGTAGACTATGATCACAATCAGACTCGCTATGCTAAAGACTCTGCAAAGTGGTTCAAAGAGTTTCTGCGCCCGTCTCTGCGACCAAATCATGCTAAAAGCTGATTCAATTAGTTTGATTGTGATTTGGTTCATTCTTCTTCCTCTTGTTGATGTTCTTGATTGTATACATAGCTGCATAATACCTAGACACAATGCCATGCAACCCATATTTGTATTCAAATTTCCCACGAAGCTGAAATAACAGTCAGAGTCAACATTTTTACGTTTCTTTACAGATTGCATTATGAACTATTGCTGGTGGATCTCTTTGTCATCGTCTCTTAAGTACGCAGCTTGTGTTGGAACCAAACTTCCAGGCAGATGGCGTTTTTTCCAGCATAGTTTATCCGATTTAGAACTTGTATGGAGTGTGCCAGGTTTGCAGACTTTGACTTGGCATGCCTAATGCTTAACGTTGAGAGGCAGGGTATCATATCATAGAATTTAACGAAATTAAGTCCTTAGACATCTTTCATGGAAAGCTGCATTAGTAAGGTTTATATTTGGACCATAATATTTTGAGCTTCAATTTATGTTGATGTGTACACAAAAGTGGTTTCATTCGAAACAAGCACTGTGTGGCACAGATATTTGAAGTCGAACTTAGTCTATTTAATCAATTAAGATCAGACGTCTTGCATTAAAGGTCTAGATTAGGTCCTATGGTTATGTGCATAAGCGGCGCGAAAGGTTGGTTCGTCTGAGCTGCCCAGTCAAAGCAGCCGCCTCATTCCAATTAGAAAATAGAAATGTAGACAGACTCTTGGAGGCCACACTAATTGCAACCGCTGATCCTTACAAACCATTACATTCATTTGGTTTTGTGACACCGACATTTTTAATCAAATCATATGCTGAAGTTGCTTCTGGCCTCAATGTGCGTGAACTTGAGGAACATTTGCTCCAATCACAAAGACATAAAAAACTATTCAAGTGTAGAAAATTACTGCCCAAAACATGTTCACCACGTGGAAGACTGCTATATTACAAGTGTAAAGATTCCGCCTTCTCCGCCCTCAAATCCAGAGCCATCCCTGCATTTGAATATCAAGCTTGGGGACCAATCTGACTACTCCCTGGATTTCTGGGTTTGTCACGATATTCCTATCACCATCCCCAAGCCTGAGAAGTACGAGTTAGTGTTGTAGTAGGGTTATTTGCTGTTTCGGAGGAGACTCTCACCTAATTTTTAAAGCTTTAGGTTAGTCTGTTGCGTTGTACGACATGCTGAGAATTTTTTATTTTGATTTGAAGGGTTTTTGGGGGTGTTGCTCCTAGAGCTCTCTCGTTGTGGCTGAAAGTAGTGGTTGGAAGGTTTAGTGCAGTGATGTTTACCTGCTCGGCGCTTGAATGATTTAGTTGTGTGAGATTATTTTAAGATTGATGTAACTACTTGATTTTTTGACAGTTCAAAACTGGAATCCGCTTCCGCGTAGAATTGTACATCATGCAAGAGGGCAAGATGGGGAGCACAGATGAAGATGCCGACATTCGGCGTCCGTCGATAAACACTGAACCTCGCACACTTAGTGAATCTACCATCGAGCGAGCTTTGGTACACCTTGCAGTTTCTTTGATAGGTTCTTCCAGGGGTGCTTCATCTGGAGAGTTGCACAAAATCAGGTTGATCTCAGTTTCTCGTCGGAAATTCCTCGACATTTTTTGCTATGTTTGATTGGAAAGGATTTTTGTATGCTGGGGTGCAGGTCGCCGCTCAAAAGATTTACGCCAGAAATCCTGAACCCTCCTCCGAATGCTTTGTCAAGGTGTGTCAATTTGAATGCTATCAGGCGACATCCTGAAAAGTTTTGAAATTTTTTATGAGCACTGTGTAACTTGTCTTGAAATCTTATTGATTTCAAAATTTTGATGTGTTCGGACCCGAAACTGTGAAGGGATAAGGCTCTTTGTTCGGCTTTCAAATTTTAGGTTAAGGGCGTACTACTAACTTGATCACTCTGATGATATCTACCAAATTTTGTAGGATGCAATTGATTCAGCTACTAGAGAACATTCGAATCCAGCAGATGATGCTCCAAGAGAAGATGCATCTGATGTTCATCCTGATGAGTTAGTTCAGAAAGCTGGAAATGTAGTCCATGTTAATCCCATGCAATATGAGGCACCGGTGTCCACTGAGACTCCTGCTTCTACTACACCATCTGAACCTGCAATGTAGAAGCTGAACGTTGACACTCGTGCTTAAGTTTTTATCTTCCGAAAAGGTGAAGGACGTGACGAGGTTTTGTAACGGTTGGCAAGCGCGTCACCTTTAGCTTGTCTGCTCAGTTTACATTTCCGACGCTTCTGTGTTACACTTGGGTAACAATGTCGTCGAGTTTAGTCTCTGTAAGATGTGGGTTACCCTGAAACTTGCAGTATTGGTAACAAGTTCATATAATCATCAATTTTTGAATCCTAAGTCAGGTCGGCGATTTAGGGTGTTTTAGCCATGTTTGCTTTCATTTTGAAATCTCGTCCATTTTCTCCGTTTGTTGGGACTTGATTAACGCCGTCCAAAATGTCGACTGTATCCCTTAAACTAATCGGGTCGAAACTGGTTCTCCTGTGCCACTGAAGAAATACTATGCTGTTCGGAAGGGATTTAAGTAAGGGATTTACTCTAGTTCGGAGGAGTGTAGGTTAGCAATTAGTGGCTATAGTAATTCCGAGTTTAGGGATTTCAGGACCTTGTATGATGCAGCGATGGACCTGCTAGTCAATTGATTCAATCAATTTGAATTGTTGAATTTCCTCTACAGTTTTTAGGTTGCGTTTTGCCCTGCAGTTTTTGAATTTTGTTCTACCTAGGGTTTTGGTTAGTATGTCAGCGGGTTGTTCTGAAGTTGGGACAAATTCTACTTTGATTATTCTGTCTTCTATCTTATGTCTAGTGGAGTGCCAATCTACTTCGAAATGTTTGGTTTTATCATGGAACATTGGATTTTTTGCTATCTTGATGCTACTCTGATTGTCACAGCCTATGTAAGTGGGTTTGTTGGTACCAAATCCTAATTCAGTGATTAGTCTTCTAAGCCATATGGCTTCACAAGTGCATTTTGCTAGGGTTCTATATTCTGATTCACATGATGACCTTGCAGTAGATTGTTGTTTTCTTGAGCTTCATGATATGGGAGTTTTTCCAAAATAGAATAGATACACACTTGTGGATGTTCTATCATCTAGGTTTCCTGCATAATCCACATCTGAGAATCCGTAGAGCTGGTTTTCCTCCCCCGTTGGAAACCAAAGGCGAAGCGACGGACGTTTGCGAAGATACTTGACAATGTGAAGCACAGTATCGTGGTGGAGCTGTTGAGGACCATGTATGTATCGGTATCGGCTGGTTAATGAGGCGGAAAATCCGAGATTGGGTTGGATTTTTGTCACATAATGCAGCTTTCCGACAAGGGCTTGGAATGCGGTTTGGTGTTTGGATGGAATCTTGGAGTCTTTACTGAGGCGAACGGCGTCGTGGACGGAGATGTGAGCCGAGGTAGTGCTTGCATATTTGGCTAGGATGGATTTTAAGTACGCGGTTTGGTGAAGTAGGATGCCGTGATTTGTTTGTAGGACTTCAACGTCGAGGAAATTTTGCATAAGACCCATGTTGGTCATTTTGTACTGTCGGCCTAGATCAGATTTCAGGGTGGAAAGGTGCGTGGGGTGCGATCCAGTGATGAAGTGGTCATCAACATAGAATAAGAGGATGGTGACGGAATTGCCGGTCCTAGAGTAGTATATATTCGGGTCCTACTTGGTCTTGACCATTCCTCGTTGCCGCAAATCGCTATTTAGCCGATTGTACCACATACGGGGGGCTTTGTTTGAGACCATATTGCGATTGTTTTAGTTTGCACACTAAGTGCTCCGTTCCTGGCTTGATACAACCTAGTGGCTCGTACATGAAGACATCTTCTTAAAGGAAGCCGTTGAGGAAGGCCGTGGTGACGTCGAGGTGATATATAGGCCATCCGTGATGTGCTGCTAGTCTGGTGATGAGATGGATGGATTTCCATTGCACAGTAGGTGCCAATGTTTCTTGAAAATTCACACCGTGTTGTTGCTGGAAGCCGCACGCTACTATTCTGGTCTTATATTGTTTGGGGCCTCCATTAACTCCTGGTTTTATTTTGTATATACATCGAGCCGAGATGGGTCGTACATGGGGTTGAGTTTTGATAAGATCCCAGGTATGATTTTTCAGGATGGACTGGTATTCTGAGGCCATGGCATCTCTCCAGCGCAGATCAAGTTGAGCTTGTTTGAAGGTGAGAGTTTCTCCGCCTTTTTCAATGCTCCTGATGAAGACGTCGATGAGTTTATTTGGGATGAAATCATGGTGTGATTTAGGTGTGTGATGGAGTCGTGTGGACCGTCGCAGAAGAGGCTCCGAGGTTTGTAACTTGTTTGACTGAGATGGTTGGGACATAGCACCAGCACTGTCCTGAGTAGTTCGATCACATGAAGTGGATACTTGACAGTCCGGATGTGGTGAGGACTGTGTTGGCCCTGATGACGTGACTGCAGATGGTGGCTCGCATGCTGGTTGAGGATCTGAATGTGATGTATCGGCGTGATCCGCTTTGAAGGATGGCCCTGAAACGATCTTTTCGGGGATGAGTGCGCTGATTTTTTTGAGTTGGTGGAGTTGTAACGGGTCAATATTGGGAAGTGACTTGATATCTTTAGATACTAGAACGAGATTCGCTGCGGGGTCATAACATCGATAACCCTTTGTGCAATTATCTAGACTGAGAAGCATGCAGAGTCAGGATGTAGAGGAGAGCTTACATTGGCCTTGTTTGGTGTGGGTCACGTAGGCGGATGTGTCGAATGCTTGCAATTGTATCACATCGGGTTTAGTGCCATTGAATAGCTCTAGTGGTGTTTTATCTGGATGTCGCTCACTGGATCGCAGATTCATGACAATACAGGCTGCCCGGACTGCTTCGGCCTAGAGTGGTCTCGGTAATTCAGTCATTGAGAAAGCATCTTGTGATATCGAGTATGGTTCTGTTTTGGCATTCAACTACACCGTTTTGGTGAGGTGTAAAGGCTTGACTAAATTGTCGTTTAATACCCTATCGTTCACAGTAGGTGTTGAATGCTCGTGATGTAAATTCATCGCCGTTGTCCGTCAGCAGTGTGAGAATTTTCTGTGATGTATTTCTCTCTATTTCCTGATGAAACGATTGAAACTTTGAGAAGCACTCGCGCTTGTGAGTGAGGAAGTACATTCATGTTCGTTTCAAAAATTCATCCACGACGAGCTGGAAATAGTGAGCTCCTCCCATGGACGTGACTCGAAAAGGTCCGGCTATATCGGAGTGGATAAGTTCCAGAATTTTTGAGCTTTCAGTAGTCCTCGTTTTTTGTACTTTTGTGCAAGTGTTCTTTCCCTAGAAGCAATTGTAACACAGAATATTGTTTATGGGCAGTTTCGGCAGTCCTATCAGTGCTTCTGTAGCCAACATTCGTCTCATCCCGTGATAGTGATAGTGACCCAGTCGTTTGTGCCACATCGCGGCTGCGGATGACGTGTGGGTTGATTTTTGTTCCACAGAACATGCTACAATCTCTGTGCAGTTCTGAATGGTTTTTCCATTCAGTCTACAGAGGCCATTTCTTGAGTGCCAGGAAACCACAGTGGCTACTTTGTCTAGATACTTTATTTGACACTTATTTTTCATGAATTCTAATGTATAATTTCTGTCTATTAAGAAGCTAACAGAGAATAGGTTTTTCTTAATACCTGGTGAGTAAAGAACATGAAATATTGTTTGAATTTCTCCAAAAGGCAAACAAATAGCAACATACGCCCGTTATATTGTGGCTATGACCACCAGCAAATGTGACATGAGTTCCAGTACTAGAATATTGCTGCATCTCCAGAAATGTGATTTGAAGTACCTGAATTTAAATACCACGGTATTGATGAAGGTGAAGTGTGAGTTTGTACATGGTTGATCTCAGCTAGATATGCATCTATTACATGTGAAACAGTGGTATCCTCCTCTCCTTGGCTGTCATCTCCTGTGCCTGAGTCAATGAGGTCACTGTTTGCAAAATCTATTTCAAGGCTGTGAATTTGACCACTGCCTGGATCCTTCCGTCTTCTCTCTCGATCTTCTTTATGCAACTTCGATTCAAGATCACGAACTTTGTCGATGATGGATCGAAGTTCTCCTTCAAGTGAGTCAAGTTTTGATCTTGTTTCAAATGTTTTCCTATCTATATTGTGTCTTTCATTGCGATAGTTGGTGCAATGAGTAGGGTACTGTCGTACTGATCTTATGTAGGATCCTCCCGAGCTCAGAGATAGACTTCCACGGTTAGAATAAGAACTTGATGGATATTGTCCTCCCGTGGTGAAGCTTGAAAATCCACGCTGGTTCCCATATCCTCCGTTCTGTCCGTAGCTGGTTTTGTTGTTGTGATGAAATCTTCCGCCTTGGTTGTGTGGTGGCCTCCTGAAGTTGTTTCTAGAGGTAAGTAAAGCCTCACCCTTGTTTTCTGAGTCTGCTCTTACCTTCCGTGTATTTTCTTCGTTGAGCAGTCTGGCTTCCAGTTCGAGGAATGTGGGCAATTTCTTCTTGTTTAAGATCATCTGTTTGATGATCTTGTAGTCCCGGGGCAGATTCTTTCTGGTGTAGTATACCACTTCTGGTTTTGGGAGGCCAACATCTCGTTCCTCCATCTCATCGGCCGCTTCCTTCATACTTACTAGGTATTCGTCCATTACACCAGTTTTGCGAATGCTAAAAAACTTATCAATAATCAGTATCTTGCGGGAGTGACTGTCTGATTTGTACCGTGCTTTTGCAGATATCTAGCACTCGTGTGGATCTTTGCTTCGTTTGAGCAGCTTAATCGCAACTCCTTCCTTCACGCTTCCGTTGATTGTACTCATAGCTTGGCGTCTCCCGATATGTTCTTGCTCCAGTATGGGGCTGCTTGATGCGGTGATACAGTAATCATAGAGGTTGTCTCGAAGTAGAACAATCTTCATTCTAAAGGCCCATGTCTCATAATTTTCTACCCCAATGAGGTAGTAAGATTCGGGAATTGTGGTTTGGTTACTAACATGTGACATATTGTGAAATAATGGTGATGCACGATCTGTTTGAGCCATCTTGCTCCTATTTCCACTACTAGCGACGTCGGAATCGGAAGAGGACATGTTGCTCTTTTGTTTAGGTGAGCAAGCACACTATTTGCTACCTAACCCTAAGCTCGTTTGAGCGCCTCCGATACCATATTGAATCTCGACATACTACAACAGTAGGAAATAATAGTTCAATGTGTCTAGATCATCGACTGTTAATGTACGCTAATGAGAACCTAGTTCTATGGGAACGCTTGACGTTCTTTTTGCCGATGAAGGTGATAAGCTGTAAGTGATGGGTGAAGGATAAGGGGCAGTGTCCAACAGAAAGTACCATGAAGAGAACACGTTGGACACGTAGTTTGATACCTTCTCATGTAGGATGTTACATGGAGAAAATTGCTACTGAGGACACGCAAACTTGAGAAAAACTAGAGTAAAGGCATACACATGAATTCTTGATTGAAATATTTTTACCTTACTAGTTCTCACTTCAGTTTTAGAATCTACACAAGCAGCACCAAACAAAGTCTTCAGGGGCCCAACAAAGTCCTTAATCGACCGCATTCCTGCATTCACCTTTCCCTACATCCCAGACTCCGAGTCTAGACTACTCACTGTCATGTAGTAAGGCTCCAGCTCAAGCTAAAGCTTAATCCACCTAGTATTCATGATGAACCATGCTCAAGGTTCTCATCCACTAGTATTGCAACATAATCCCACGCTATTGGGCTGAGCACACCAGAGCAGATTATTGTTCGGCGGTTTCCACTCAACGGCAAGCTAGGAATGAGTACAGTAAAACCGCAGTTACAAAGTAACTCCTGTGACCCTACTTCCGCGTCAAGCTTTGACACAACTCACTAAATTACTGCAAACTGGCCCTCCGCTGGGTCACGAAGCGAAAACCGAAGTGCTCATGCATTACGTCATAATACGTACACACGTTGAAAGCTCTTTTGCAATGCTCAATCACAGTCGCCTGACCATGCAAAGATCAAGCCTTGATGTAGTACAAAGCACCACTACGCAAACCTCAAAATGGGGGTTGGATGAACTGAAACTCTAATCAATTCATATTTACGAACAAAACCCGTCCCTATACCTTTGCAGCACCATGAGGAGTTGATGCATCCACTAGGATTAACCACCACCGAGTCCGACTTCCCCATCGAACTCTGGCGTTGCCCATGACATTGTATCTTCATCACCATGTCCTCAGACAGGGGTGTAATGGATTGTGATGACGCCCACATCCGTATTAGCAATGGCGCTGAATGCTGCCTCTGAGAGGTCGAAAACCCGTCCTCCAGAGCAGCCGTTGGGGCAACGATCCACGACTTTAATCGTAATGGGGCCGCCGCCTGTGCATCCATTGCCCACGCAAGCGATTTCGAACAGCTTGCCGCAGTTTTGCCCGCCGTTCCAGAGGTTGGCGGTGATGTTGTCGCCGGCAGCCGCGAAGTACATGTTGGCAGGGAATTGAGCTGGATCGCTGCCGTAGCACGCGGAAGCTGCAGAGGCAGCGCACCATAAGTGAACCGTTGGATCTCTTGGTACAGGTGAATTGATCACACTTATCGATTAAAATTTAGACCACAGCTTCCATGCCACACATGTAAAATCGTCGGAACTAGTGTCGGACTGCAAAATCAGATTCGTCTGAGCTAGTGAAATGAGGGACAACAAATGATATTCCGACCCTTTTTGCAGCTGGAGGGATCGGAAAAGGGATGCGGCACCCATAGTAGTTCAAAGAACTTACGAGTATAAATGGTGTAGAAGGACGCTTGCCCAGTTCCCCCAGTCGTTGAGGATGGCGGGGTTGGAGTGGGTGTAGAACCACTACACTGGCTTTGGCAGCCTGTGCCACAGTAATCCGATGTTGTTCCACAGTAACCATACTTACTGCAGCATAAGCCATTGGCGCAGACAGCGCCGTTGGCCTGCGTACCGCATTGCTGTGCTACGATCGGATGCAGTAGAGACAAGAGCAAACATGCGGACGCCAAGAGCGTCATGTGTTGCTGAGCCATCGCCTCGGGTAGTTGTGTCCCCTGTGTGCACTAGGATATGGTTTTTCTGAATTCTAACCTCGCAGTGCAACAATGTGAAGCACGTCAATCCAACCTTCATGACAACTCATCACTGCGCGTGCACTTGACAACTGCTTAGCTCCACAGTGTAACACATAGTGCCCAGAGAAAGGGGAAGAAGAGGCATCATACCTGCAAGAGAAGCGTTGCTAGATCCACTAGACCTGCTGTAAGCTCGAGGTGGTTTTTGCATATGGAAGAGAAGGTTTTCCCGGTTAGCTATATATATATATATATATATGCGAGCCAAGGTTCGAATCTACTAGGAAAGTACTCGGAGGCGGAATGCATAGCTACTGCCTATATTACGACGTAATCCTGACCCCGCTCTGACGCGTTCTCATGCTGCAGACCAGTCTTGGCAGTACACTGCCGATATGGTTCGTTCTGCGGTGCTCGCAGAAAGTCGGAATGTCATGCAGAATCGGTAACACCCGCGGTGCTTGAGTTGGATGTACATGCGTGAGGTTGATGCCTGATGTTAGCTTAAGATTTGAGACGCTGCTGCCCACTGGTGGATGGAACAATAGCATCGAGAATTTCCGTTTAGAGGATTTCTTAATACTTCACCGCACATCCCCACATCCACCGCGTAATTTTTCGTGAAAGTCACGCACTACGTATGACGTACTACGTTTGTGGGTCCATTGACCGATTGCGCACCGGCAGACTATAAGGTATGACTTGCACAATGTCACACACTATCCTTTGTTGTCCGATTGGCTGCGGACCAAAAATAAATGGTGGAGGTCATGTCCTGCACTCGCTTTCCACACTGGATTAACGTGAAGGGTTTCGCATTAGTTGTTCTTCGCAGAAAAAAGGTTGGGCACAAAGGAATACCTCAAACGGCAAGTGTCGGAAATATTGACCGAGATCTTCACGGCAGTGTTTTGAATCAGGGGTGTGGCTCTGGACGCACTGGAGAACGTGGAATTCAATCTGGACCCAAAAATTTTGCAGAAGTTAATGGGCGGAAAACCTGGTAATCGCTTCTGAAACTTAACAGCCTGAAAATCAAAGGTAGAAAAGAAAGTTCTTCACTTCCAACCATCATTCCACGAAGACATGACGTGGTGCAAGCGCCTTTGAAGTGGTCACGAATCTTGACTTCCAAGTCGTGAGATTTGCATTTGTTATTCACCACCTACTGTCTGTAAGCAGCATAATAAAGTAAGACAAGGTCCAACTGGTAGAGTTCTGTTACTACACGTGGTCTCTCCCAACAATCAAGTTGTTCATTTCGGTAAATATTGGTAGTAGATCCCTGGCGTTTAGAATATACCCGCAGATGTGGGGCGTGTTGTTATCTGTTGGACTGAGCATTTGCGAAACCTGATCAGATTGCGAAACAATTGGTACTCACCGCACAACTGGTCAGGGTCTAGAAAGTTTGGTGGACTAAAACCAAACATGGCATTCTGTGAAGATAGAAACTCTCTCGCTCTCTGTCCTCATGGTGATATTGAAGGAACACGAAATGAAACAGATGAGTTATTGGGTGGAATATTATCATCCTTCAAGAGAATTCTTCACAAGCAATTATCATGGTCGTGGTGTCGATGCCTGACAGTGCTTTTTTGTTATCACCCACGTGTGTCCAACAATGCTTCCACTGCCTGATCTGCCACCTTATAGTCCACCCACAGGCTCATATTTTTAATTTATTTCATTCTTTCTTTATAAATAGACATGACTGTGGCCACATTGCGTTGCACTGCAGCGTCAGCTTCTATTATTGGCTCTATGTAGGGTGATTTTTATTTTATTTTTATCTTCAGCACCTGGAATTGTAGAATGAAGAAAATATAGATGTATTCGTGCGGTAAGCTCAAAGAATGAAGATTATTTTTGTTTTTTTGTTTTTACGGCTGGTGATAAACTGCCGAAAATCGATACCTGATATATGTTGTTTAGCGAAAAAAGGATTCATGTGGAGGTGGGGGTGAAAATTTATAAGTCACCGACATAATAGTGGGTAGAGACAAAAATAGAAAAAAAAAGAAAAAAAAAGAAAAAAGAAAAACTTTTTTAGAGCATGTTAAGTTATTGTTACAATGTGATTTTGTTGTGTTTTATTAGAATCAAACAAATAAATTAATACTTGCTAATTATGAGGTAAATGAACTACAATGGGGAAGTGAGTAATCTGCTTCAAAACTGAAGCATTTGAAACATGAATTTGAATTTTTTTGAAGGATCTTTAGAATGATAAGAGATGGTTCTTTACAATGAAAACCTTTTTTGCAGAAGAGTTTTTTTGATATTTTCTGAAGGAAAGGGAGAAGGAAAAGAGGAGTTTTCTTTACGAAATTGTGAAGCGGATACTTCTTACTTTCTGCTTGTATAAGGTTTTATTACAATTAAAAGAAGATTTTATTGCAATCTGCTTGTATAAGGTTTTATTACAATTAAATTTTATTACAACTCCTTGTTTGTTAACACTGGACCTTGTATATATGTTAAAACAAAAAATTATATTTTAAAAATATTTAAAACAACTAACAATGCTTTTAGAGGTTTATTTATGTTTAAGTTTGTAGAATTTAGTACAACATATAGCAGTAGTTTATAATTGGTTGATAACCAGAAGTTGTTCATTTTTATTTGTATTTTATCATTGTGCCATTTTTGATGAATCTCAATTGTATGCATGTACAATAATTTAAAATGGTATATGACCTCAATTTTATGCTCATTTTACAAAATAAAATAATATCTTTTGTTATTGAATAAATAATTCATGTAATTTTATTCTAACATGATTTTGCACATAAAATCTATGTCTATATTTTTTAAATCTCAAGATCCTTAAATGTATACTTCTTTAAACATTATATAGTTGTGAAAGTCACATTAAAATATATCTAATTATTTATGTTTTAGTAATATATATAGTAAAATCTAACAATATAAATTAAACTATTTGTTTTTTTGTTTAATTGAGGATAATGTTTTATTGATGCATCAGTCTTATATTTCTCTAAAAAAAAACATCTTTCAAATTGATACAAATTTATGCCATTCTGACCATTTCATGCTTTTGAAATACATTTTTCAGAAAAACTAAAGTTTTGTAATTGATGGAGCAAACACCATTTCAGTCTTGGACCCTTTCCTATCTTAGGCTCACAAATCCCTGCCTGCTCCTCCTGATTCTTTGTCTATTTGTTTAGTAAAAAAATTAATAAAATAATAATAATAATAATAATAATCGAAGTTTTTATCAATATTTGTGATGACCCTTGCTCACAAGCTGACCCAATTGAAAAAGGGAAAAAAAGGTGAAGAATGAGGAGTGTGAATAGTTATATATTCTTTTTTTGTCAAATGCTTTCTTTTGGATACACCCCAATTTATCCTCCCATTAAATAACATTCTTGACCTAACATTTTGTCCGCTATGTAAATGAAGATTTATCTAATCAAATTTGATGCATTTAAGAAAACCAACATAGATCAAATGTGAAGCTTTTTAGTTTAGTAATGTTAAAAAACCATTACTATTAATAGCTATAGATGTGATTTTGACAACTTTAATTATTTTTAATCACCTGAGAATGTTAAATACCAAATACACATTGTTTTAAATATACCAACTAATTAACCAATTTCATGATTTTCTAACATATACAAAAATCGATAATGATAAGGGATCGTACCAATTAGTATAATGAGACATCGAAATGAATGAAACATATTGGTTACAACACATTGTCAACTTACTGTTACTGACATTAATTACTGTGAAAAAAAATTCTATTGAGATACATTTCACTTTTCTAGTACTTAAATGCAAAAAAATTCTCGACTTGCGATGATAGTAAAATCAGATCCAGGCCAACTCTGCCGCAATCAGAAGCAACTCAACATGGATCGAGAGCAAGTGGGGATCGGTCAGACAGGCAACAATGATGCACAGCATTTGGATTTAACAAAGCTAACGATGTTGCTGCTTCTCCTGCTAGAGAACAAATAGTGAGGAGGTAGCTTCATCACACTGATTTCTGCAGGAACGATCCGCAGGAAAGGACCGTGTTGCGTAACGTTTGGCCATTGATTGCGCGGTGGGCGACGCGAATCTCTCCTTTGCTAGTTTAGCTGGGTTTCATTCTGTGTCTAATGATCGACTGTATCGGTCTTGTGAGTGGGTACGTTGCGAGCTAGCAGGAGGTTTTGGTTTGGGACAAAATTTGGTGACGAGGGAGCAATGGCAGGAGAGGTACTGAATTGAAGGCACTTCTCATCTCCAAGTCTGGTTCAGATAGTCATTCAGTTCGTGTCTGGTCTCTGCGAGATCACTCAAGGGTTTCTAGATGAGCTAATCCGACTGAACCCTAATTGGCCCGTAGGCAATCTCCCTAGTTGAATCTGTTTCTTTGAGCTAGCGCTGGTGTGTGTTGCTTGCTTTTTCAAAGAAAAAAGAAAACAAAAAAAACTAGCTTCGTTTCCTATGCTCTTGAGGGTTTTGGGTCCCTTCTATGGCGTGTCATCTACTTGTTTGGAGTTTTTCAAACAACACCGCGATTTGCTTCATCCTTGGCCGATCGTCAGGGTCAACGGCTATGCATGCCAATGCCACCTGCGGCGCAAACAATAATTTAACTTCTTTGCACATAAATACACTCGTAGAATCTATATCAAACATGACGGAGCGGGAAGAGCCATACAGCAGGTCCTTTTTTCGGCCCATTTCTCGTGCGAAAGATGAAACAAGCGTTGCGAGATTGGCGATTTACCTGCAAGGTTTCGATCATTTGACTATGTTCGTTGTCGTCAGCTTTCTGCAAGCGAGGATCAAATATCTCAGAGAGGTTTCTATTTTCTTGAAGGGCCTGGCGAATCCATGATACAAGGTCGAGTTCACCTCCAGCAAGCTGCTTGAACGGTGACCTGCCCGTGAGAAGCTCAAGCAACACAACTCCGAAGGAATAAACGTCGCTCTTCTGAGTAAATCCTTTTCCACTAGTAGCCTCCGGAGCTAGGTACACATCCGCCAAGAATGGGGCAACCACAAATGGGGTAGACGTCCTCCTTCCAAATTCTGAAAATCATGCCAATACGAGATAAGACATGTGCTGTTGTGCGAAGCGGGTTTTTTTGTCACTTCAAACACTGCTCAAGAGTCTTCGTGTGCTAGATACTGGAGCATGATATTTACTGTAACAAACACAGGCAAAGTCATTAATAATCTCGATTCAGAATGTTTGAGGAACGATGCTAACCAGGAGCTGGGGACACCGCAGAAGCTCTCCCAGTTTCACTTCGAATACTACCGAACTCCTTGACGGGCTCTGGCTCTACGAATGCGAGCAGCCGTTGTAGTCCGAAATCGGCAATTCGAGCTTCTAGATAGGCATCCAGAAGAATATTGCTAGGCTTGATGTCACCATGGACGTATCTCTTGGGGCTAAATTCATGTATGTGTGCGATACCTTGGGCTGCTCCTCGCGCTATTCGGAGTCGTGACTTCCACGTAAGTGACCTTTTTAATCCCTCTGATCTACCTGCAAGCCTCGAATTCAAGCCAACGTCAAATACCAACTCATACTCTCTGAAGCATTATCATTCAAAATCACAAACTGCAATTGGAATATATACAATCAAAACAATGTCCCTAAGTTGGAGGAGATTTTTTTTTTTTTTTTTTTTTTTTTTTTTACCGTGAAGAGCAGTTTCCAAGCTCCCATTGGAGACATAATCATAAACCAGCAACTTCTCGTCTGCCGTCCAATAAAAGGAATGTAAATTGACAATGTGTGGATGCCGCACTTGGGCGAAGATCTTCACCTCAGCCTCAAACTCCTTGTGCCGGTGCTCCCCGCCACCGCCTAATCTTCGAACAGCCACAATGGTGCCGTCGTCCAATACAGCCTTGTACACAACCCTCGCCCCTCTCTTGCCCAGCACGTACGCCGAGGCTCGAAGCAGTTCCTCCAAGTTGAAGAAAAATGCTCCACTCAGGTGCACTAGATCACCTGCATCCTCCTCAGATGCTCCACCTGCAGAGTCTCGCCTTGGGCACAGACAGCCTCGAAGTCCGTTGACGTTGTAAGTCCTCGGAGAACTTGGGAAGCTCACAGTCTTCTTAGCTAAACTCAATTTCCGCACGAAGAAGTAGAATCCCACAGTAGCCATGAGCAACGCTGCACTTCCGCTAATAACTGCGATAACAATGACAGCAGTCTTGTTCAGGCTTTTCTTATGGGAGGTGCTGGACCCTGACGCAGTGCTGTTGACAAAAGGTGGGGGGGCGGTATTTGATGGCGAAGGCGCGCAGTTTATCTCTAAAGGTGGACCGCAGAGCGCAGGATTGCCATCGAAAGCTTCCAACCCCAAGGATTGAAAATATGACCCTGATGGAATAGGACCCGAGAGATTGTTGTTGCTAAAGTCTATGAATACATTCCGTAGGATGCTCAGAGACTGAGGAATGGAGCCGGAAAAACGATTGTTGGAGAGATTAAGAGTGCCCTGCAAGATGCAGCAGGACAAGAATATTTATATAAACAGCTCTCGGCGGCTACAAGGCAAACAACTTTCCCTGGAGGGAGCGAATAACCCAGCATCTCCCAACGTTGCAATAGGCATCCCAAAAGCGAGCGTTCAGGCACTCTCTCTCACACACGATCCCAATCCCACTCAACAAAGCGTTGAGAAAGATCACTGTGACCTGCCACGATAAAGATCTCAGAAGTTGGTCCCAACACTGGAACACGGCGTTCCGGGGGACTTAGCATCAAACTGTCTACGCGAATCGGCCACTCCAACTAACTCCTGGCCTCGGTTCTTCGCGGCCCTTGCAATTTCTCTCAAACTCTACAATCTCTGTTGTTGCAGCTGTCGATTCTAGAGTCTCGCCACAGATGCTGTGAAATAGAGAACTGCATCGAATCCCCAGGATCTGCAGGTAAATATTCGCACTGATTCAATGTGTGCAGTGGATAGGATTGAGCTGTTGAGCGCAAAGGGGGCCAGATTAGTAGCTCCAAACTCCAGGTCGTCTACCGATGCGAATCGATCGTGGTCAACATGTGTGATCGATGCAAACTTCTGGTGGCCGTAACAGCATTTATGAAAGGGCACCGACAACTTCGGAGACTGCCATATCCCTTGCCTTCTGTGCGAAGTTTTTAAAAATTCGAAGTAACTGAAAGGACTTTTCACCAGTTTGGTCTATTTCTGACGGAATTCTTAGACTTGGAAGGTGAGACAATCTGTGCGCGGCCGCAAGTGTAGTCCTGGAGGCGTGGTTCCACTTCTAATAATGGAAAGAAGACAAGGTGGAGAGGGTTTTAAGCCACAGCTACCTCCCACAAAACCTAACAATTATGCCACAACAATCAAGGCCGGCGTTCACTTTGCGGTGAACCCTCTTGTCCTCTTGATCTCGTATCGCGGGAGAGGTCTGATCGTGGTCCAGAATCCTCCAAGTGGCAACCGACAGCAAACAGTCACATGTGAGGATCTTTACGAAGAAGAGCATTAAGCAGGGCTGAGATGCCAACTGGATTAATCGCAGAAGCTCGAGAGCGAGGGGGAGTTGTTTCGATGCCCCCTACCGTATTTACAAGTTCACTCTGGTAATTCTGTAATCTTTATTCGCTTCTACGACTAACGACGGAAATCTTTGAGGGTTTGATCGTGAATTTGTTCGAATTCACGAGTTTGAGTGAAAAGACTCATTAGCGGAGGTGCTTGAGGATTTACAGCCACTCTTAGACTTGAACCCTACACCATGACGACTAAGTTTTGGTCGATAATGGTACCTGTAACTCTGTGAGGTTGGCAAAGTTTTCAGGGATTGTGCCGATGAAGTGATTCGAAGATAAGTCTAGTCGCTCCAGTCTTGTCAAATTTGAGCCAATTCCGGCAGGTACAATTCCTGTTATATTATTGGTGCTCAAAATGAGTCGTCGAAGTCGGGAGCACTGAACGATCTCTGCTGGCAGGCCTGTTATGATATTGCTCCTTATTTCCAACACTCTTAGTTGGTTACCAAGATTGCGAATCTCCGCTGGAATGTCTCCGGTCAAATAGTTGTTCGATAGGTACAGACGGGACAAATTGAGGGCCGCGAAAAGCTTACTAGGGATCTGGCCGGTCAGCTTGTTCGTGTGCAAATTCAACAGGCCGAGATGAACGAGGTCTCCGAGGCTTGGAGACAGGGTTCCTCCAAGCTCCTTTCTGAAAACAACGTGAATGTGAGGAGTTTACATAAAGAGATATTTCCACGAGATGGGGCTATGGCGAATCTTACAAAATTGTCGTCGACACCTCAAATCTCTGCGATAGCAAAATGTCTGGGTTCTCACCCGGGTAGGGTGATGTTCAGCACCCGTTCCTCCATCGTTCCTTGAATCCTCGCGCATCTGATGCCGTTCCATCGGCAGGGAGTGGCGTCCGAATCATTCCAATTCTTTAAAGCACTGTGGGGGTCTGAAGTTATGGCTTTCTTAAATTCAAGAAGAGCAATTCCGTCTGCGTTCAGACCTATAACACTCAGAACTTCAACTGCTAGAACGATCATCATAATTATGGTGGCTCTCTCAAATGCCGTTCGTCTGCGTGAGACTTGATTCCATGCATATTGACAGGACACTGGTAGAGCAGCTCCAAAGATCACGCTATTTTTCCTCTCTCGAAAGTTCATTGATGTGGACTCTTTTACAAGATGGCTCCTTCGATCAAGATAACATGCAAATCAAGTTGATTGCTGCGATGTCGAACCCATGAATCACAGAGTTACACCTGCTTTAAGTGCTCTCCCTTGAACCGATTACCATCGAGAACAAATCTATCAAGACAGACGCAAAGCACGTCAAAGACCAGTGGAAGCATCCCCAGTCACCTACCGTCCTTTGACACACTTGCTTTAGGTTTCCAACGCCATTGTGCAAGTGTTGCAAAGGCCAATTCGGATCTTTTTTCCTGCAATTGACGGTACCATCGAACCATAAATTTAGAATAAAATCTGAGACCCTTGTGTCCTTGCATCCCTGGAGTTGAACCAAACCTACTGGCATCGGAGGATTTACTAGTTGTTGATGGTCGCTGTACAGACGAAGCGGCAGAGCTCCGAGAAAGACGACTGTGTCAACATCTTCAAAATGGATCTCTTCGACAGAATCTAAAACGCAAGCTGGGCCGAGCGATCCACCATTAAAATCTCAATCTACCAATTGACCCCTAATTTCGAGCATATCGAATTCCAGAATCCGTCGAAGAATCCAAGTCTCTAAGCTCGCAAAGACTCAAATATTGGCGATCTTTCCCTGCATCGAACTCTCTGGGCAGTCACTATCTAAGCACACGCTGGCGAATCACAACACCGGAAACAAAACAAACAAACAAACAAAATAAATAAATAAATAAATAAATAGATAAATAAAAATGAACCATATAAACCCTGTGTGTCAATAGGAAGCCATTGATTAAGGAAACTTCCCAAACTTGTAGCATAACAGCAGTTCCGCAATTCCTGTGCTGGACCATCATACCGACGTGCACCGTACGCTTCTATCAGGCCGACTTTCAGGAGCAAGAGGATTTCAGAGATCCAGCCGAACCCGGGACCACTTCGTTTTGCGTTTGTGAATGATGAATCAGCTACCAATAAAGCGCTAGGGGTGGAATCTTCCGATCGGAAAAGCTATTCAAGTGGATCGTCTTCTTCTTCGCAGACAAAGCACGGTACAGACTGAGAGTTGCACCCGTGTCATGGCAGAGATTTTTCTTGTTGACTTACACTGTAGAATTTTTCACGCCAGTGTTGCTCACCGGAAAACAATATTCTAAAATATCCCGAAATCCGAGAGTTTAATCCTACAACCAATTGGTTTGGACTCCGCCCCAGCACCAGCTCCAGGACTCTCACAAGGTTCGAACCTCCAGTCAAAGCTCCGCCAGGCTCCTGGTGTGAAGTTACCGCACCACCCGATCGTTGTTAACACGGACCCGACCGTTTCGATATCTGACACGCAACATGGAGTGGTTTGTGGCAGGCTAGTTTCCCGTGCAATTACCTTGCGAGGGATTAATGGGGTGTCCACTCCTGGTGGGGTCGCATTATTTCACTCCCTTCAAGTCCCCCTATTGATTGCATTGCTTCTCTAGTTGATCAGATTTGCCAGGAATCGATGAAACTGATCCGGAGTCAAACCTGAAGCAACCACAGGCAGGATCTGAAGATCTGCGTGCAGGTTATTATCAGTTTCACTTGCTTACGCATTTTCATGAAACCCGTGACCATGACCAAGTTGTTGTTGTTGTTGCTGCTGCTGCAGCATTACCGCATGTCCTGCTGGTTCATGAAACCTGCAACGATGCTGCTGCAGTTGCCTTCTCCTTCTTCTTCATCATCATCATGGACGTGCATGCTCTCATGCTGGAAAATTCGCTTTCCAGTGTCTGGATGGAATGAAGGCTTGAATATCAATTTTATGAAATAGTGGGCATCATACTAAATCGGTGGGTGAAAGTCTTTTAAAACAGAAAACGACGCAAATAAACGTAGAGGAAACTATGGTGCTCCAGCGTCCTCAGTTACCAAACTTAGGGTTTCAATCTTCTTTCTCACAACAAAGCTGTTTGGATTCTATCTACCTCTCATTGAACGTTGCTACAAAGATTTTAGTTGATTTTGGAAAAATGTAGAATTGTTTTTGCATATAGTACAAATTAAAATAGTGGTTAGAATTTAGAGTGTTGAGAACTACTAGCATTTAGATGTAACAAAGTAGCAGATCTAAAAGAGATAATTTTGCAATATTTACACATAAAAGGTGTTGGGTGTACAACTTAGAACCTAAAATTACATTGGTGTACTATGTGGATGCTCTCATAGGAAAGATGAGTTTAATAAGAAATTAATTTGAGCTTTATCATTCTTATTGATTAATTCACATTATAAGAATGATTTATGGTTCATTCTAAGTTGTACACCAAACACCTTTTATGTGTTTCCAATAATCTTTTCAATCTATTCAATCTTTCCAATAAAGCATAAATCATTTGTATAATGTTGAATTAATCAATAAGAATGATAAAGCACAAATTATTCTTTCAATAAAACTTTGGATGAAGATTTTTCAGCTAATTTTTTAAGAAGTTTTGGAGGTTTATTACTTTGCAATTCTAATTCCGTTCTAAATAGCTTTAGGATTGTCACAAGTAATGTGGTAAAAAAACTAAGTGTGCTTCTTAGAAACTTTCACAATATAATAAAAATTTAAAATATTATTATATTTAACCATGAAATGATAATATTATTTTTAAAAAATTACAAAATTAAATATATATATATATATATATATATATAACATCTATTATCTAATTTTGAAGTGTCTAAAATTTAAAACCTCCACATGATAGATGCAAGACCTAAAAATATTAATTATAATGAATATAAAGATCTACACACAACCAATAATGATAAATTTAAAAATGTAAAAAACCATCAAAGATCTTTTTGCAACCACTTTCTTTGCTTAAGCACCGATCTAATACAAAATTAAAAAAATTAAAAAAAAATTAATAGATTCTTATTAATCATTAAGTATAAAGATAAATACAAGGATTTTATATAAATGCATAACAAAAAATCAACAGATTTCTAAAATAATTAAAATAACCAAATTCAATGAAATTATAACTTCTTTTTTATGTAAGTCTTGTATTATATAGGCTTCGAACTTATTCCAAAAAGATGTATACAAGCACCACATTTGTAAAGAAAGAACAACTTCACAAGTTCAAAGAATACCAAAGAAGCAAGAGCAGTTATTCTATGCTTTCAATTTCAAGTATCTTTTCACTTCTTACAAGTTTATTAACTTGAATTTATTTTTAATGTCCAACCGCCTAAATATCAATTTTTTTATTCAAATATCACTTGCAATCAGATCCCTAGTTGGTTTTAATTTAAATTTTTAATGTCTTTTAAAAAATTCTAAAAGTATATTTAAGATATTTAGAATAAAAACCATTATTGTACATTAATAACTTAATTCTAAGAAGCAATTAGATCTTGTAGAATTATTGTAAGAAAGAAAATTATAATATAGAGAATAAGAGTATTTTTAGAAAATAAAGTAAAAAAATGAAAAAATAGATTATATTTTTATCCATAAAAAATTAATAATTAATATAAATCAAAATACTATTAAGAAGCATTTCTCAATTATAAATCTTATAAATAGAAGGTCAATAAGCAATATTTTGATTAGTATAAAATATCTGAGACTATTGAAAAAACAAAAACAAAAACATCAAAAAAACAAATCTCAAATAAGAATTTATAGTCATAAAAGTAAAGATGGATAAAATAAAGATGTAGCATATAACTTGATCTATGTTAGTAAAGTATATTTTTCTCATCTATAAAAAATTAAAAAATAAATTTTATTGTTCTTATTCTAATTAATATTCTTATCTTGAGAAGTTATAAGAGAGTAATATAGGCATGCCAAAAAAAATCTCTCCTCTTAGTAAATTATATAAGATAATAAAAGAACTAAAAAAAAGTCTAAGTATTAGGACTTGATGCAGTTGGAATTAAAATTTTAAAAATATTTTGCTGTAATCTTGCTTGTTCTATTAAAATATCATGAAATTTAGTAAATATAACTATTTATCATTTATTAAAGGTCCAGTATTAAAACAAAAAATTGCCTTATTAATTGTGTATCGACTTGTTGCTTGTGTATTTAATACAGAAGATAAAGTCTTAATTGGTAAATGTTGACCAACCACTCTTTTCAACAACATATAAAAAAATTTGCAAAGGTCTTTTAGGTAAAAATTCAACCAATTTTTTAAAATTAATTAATTGAGAATATATTTTTTTTAGCTATAATATATATTAGAAAATATATTTCTAAAACTTAAAACAATGCATTAGATTTTATTCACAAAGAAGAACTTTAAACACTCAAATTTGAACTTATATAAGTATATGATTGATTCAAATAATATAATTATATTCTAAACCATTGAAGCTTTTGGTTTTAAATCCTAATTTATCAATATAAAAAAAATACTATTTTATAATATAAAAGCACATATTACCATCAATAGACACTCTTCAAAATCATTTTTTGTTAAATAAGAGATATAGCAATGGTATTCATAGGCTCTCTATTTATTTCTCTTTGATGAAAAAATTCACAACTTTAATCTTAAGATGACATTCAAACAAAAAATTATTAAAAGTCCTACATTGCTTAAGAATAGAGATTTATTATTTATTAATCAGTATATTGATGATATAACAATATTCTTTGAAAAAAATAAATGAATATATATAATTGATATAGTTATTAGTATTATTGATGTATTTAATATATAATCAAGACCCAACGTCAATTAGCAAAAATTAGCTTTAATATTATATATCTATAAAAATGTACCACTATAAATAATTGATTATCAGTGAAATTAGACTAATAAGAGAAAAATAATTTTATTTTAGATATTACATTTGGTTTAGGTCTTATTCAAAAAAAAAAAAAAAAAGTATTTTTATTATTTATTTATAGAATGAATAAAATACTAAAATTCTTTTAGAAATAACCTATCTAGAATAATTTTAATTATCTATTTTATTTTTTGGCTTCTATTATGTATTTTACATAGGATAGAAGAAATCAATATAAACTGTAAAAACTATAAAGAAATTAGTGTATAACCTTTTTTATGCAAAAAAGACTAAAATTAGAAATAGACTACCATAAGAGATTGTTGGTCTATGTATTCAAAATATTGCTCTCAACTAATATAATCCTAAAATTTCTTGAAATGCCTTATTGATAAAGTAAATATATATATATATATATATATATATATATATATTTTTTTTAATTAAATATAATCTTATATATACTATGGTCTATTCAATTATTTAAAATTATCAACAAGTATATGGGTGATGTACATTACATAACCAAAATATTATTAAAATATTTTTGAAGATACAAGACTTAAAAAAGAGTGTTTAAAGTTTAGAAACTTAAAGCAAAAGACCGTAAACACATGCCTTTAGACAATTTCTAAACTTTATATATTCTTATTTAAAACATTAAATAAGATGAAATATTTTTTTAGTTTTAATATGCAATAAAATATTTTTATAATATGTTTATAAAAAAAAAAAAAAAAAAAAAAAAAAAAATTAAAAGATCATTATTTATGTTTCTAATATATTCTATAAAATTGCAATAAAGATGTGGAGATAAAAAAAAATGTAAAAAATATTAATTATTCTTATATCCTTTGTATCCTACTGATACTAGAAATAATTTAATATAAAATTTTAAATTATTCATCAGTAGAACACATACAAAAGTTAAAAAGAACCATTTTGAATAATCTAAATAAACAAAATCTTCAAAGTATACCATTTTTGGTAGTTAATCTTAAAAAATTCAAATTCAAAAAAACTTCAAATCACATAGAATACGCAAATATATTATAGCCTTTGATAGAAGGAGCATGTTTTTGGATAGTTGGAAATATATATATATATATATATATATATATATAATT